AGCGCACTCTCATCTTCTTGCATGTTTTTACTATTCCACTGCCCGCGTCGCATCTTTATCAACACAAAAGCGGAAGACCCTACTCAATGCATGTTTTATTGGACTGTCCCGCTTTTAATGTATGTAGAAAACTCTTTTATGAAGTGAACTCACTTAAAGAGTTATTTAGTATAATTTTGCCAGAAAAAAAAGTTTTAGAATTTTTATGATATGTGACCCAGGACCACAAAACCAGTCATAAGGGTACATTTTTTGAAATTGAGATTTATACATCATCTAAAAGCTGAATAAATAAGCTTTCCATTGATGTATGGTTTGTTAGGATAGGACAATATATGGATGAGATACAACGTTTTGAAAATCTGGAATCTGAGGGTGCAAAAAAAATCAAAATATTGAGAAAATCGCCTTTAAAGTTGTCCAAATGAAGTTCTTAGCAATGCATATTACTAATCAAAAATTTTATATATTTACGGTAGGAAATTTACAAAATATCTTCATGGAACATGATCTTTACTTAATATCCTAATGATTTTTGGCATAAAAGAAAAATCAATTTTGACCCATACAATGTATTGTTGGCTATTGCTACAAATATACCCCAGCGACTTAAGACTGGTTTTGTGCTCCAGGGTCACATATGTTAATGTAAAAAGTCTCGTGTAATATAACTTGTGTTTGTTTTTTTGCTGGTTTTTATTGTATTTGTTATACTTGTATTTTTTGAATTGTTTTTGCCATGAAAGTAGATGCTGACATGGCATTAAATAAAAATATGCTACTACTGAACTCACCTTCATCAAATTAGTTAATATTAGTTGCAGGGCTGTGTTATCAGTTCTTTAATTAAACTCTATAATAATATTGTATATCTGAACAGGGTCACATGTCGGAGGCCGATCCACGGTGCAGCTGGCCGTCCGGTGAAGCCACTGAGCCTCTGGTCCGAGGAGTCCCTCCAGCAGCAGAACACTTACACAGTGACCAAATCCTCCGTCACAGACGTTCGCAGTGCAATGCCGGCTGCCCATCTCAAACCCCGCCGCTGGTTGGCTTTCTGGTTGAAGCTTCTGGTGTTCATCACACTGGCTGCGTCTCTGTATTACGCCTTCCAATACGTCACCACCGATCAGATCAACGCCTGCCAGCTCTATGTCCAGGACAATGTCATCATGCCCATCGTCAATTACATCAGCTGGGAAAGCCCAGCCGAGGGTGGCGACGGCAAATGAGCGGCCCGGTCCCTCAACCAGCTTCAGCATGCATGTACTGTTAGACTGATTTTCTAGTGCTTTACGGAGCGACGCGTTGGCAGGGTTCGGGGAGGGAGGGATTCTGGTTATTGCAGTTTGACCTAGCAGTCACATCTGAATAGACTCATGTTTCAAGTAGTCTTTAACTCTGTGCATCGTGTGTTTTGATCTTGCTTTCTGATTTTACGGTTTTGTAGCGTTCGAGACGACGTAGAGAAGTGTAGTAGTGACTGGCTAATAGTGAATCATTCTCTGCTCAGTGGCATCACAGCGAGAGGTTACGTGCCAAGACATGGCCAACACAAGCACAATTTGGTTTCACACACATCGGGGCTAGACGAAAAAGCCTGAAGCTGAATGTTTGCGAAAATGGTTTATTTGATAGTTCTGATAGGTCCTGAATAATCATGAAGTTTTTATTTTAGCACGACTGAATCTGACTTTATGAAGTGTCGCTAATGAGACCAGAGTGAGAAAATTGTTCTAGCATAACAGGGTGAATCTCAGATCTTATGAACATCTCATGTAGTGAGTAACGCTTCACTTCTGGTGAGAGGCAGTCTGTTGTTTTTTTTAATAGATTATGGCGGCTTGTTAAATGTGTTTGTGATGTTTTCATAATGTGATGTCTGGCATTGTAGGTGATTTTTAAACCCGTAATGAGAATTGAGTCCACCGACACTTGCCTGTTATTGACTGTAATCAGACCGTCTGTTATTGCTCAAACACTGGCATTCATCTGACTAAACTATGAATTCATTTCTGTGCTGTGATTTTTGAAAACAAACCTGGTCTGGACATGTTTACTGAGTATATCTTCATTTCATTCAGAGAAATACATTTGTGACAGACAAATTCATTTGCAGGGGTTTCTTTTTATATTTTGCTACTCTTACTACTTTTTAACGGCAATATTTTTCTAATGTCTTCTCTGAAATTAAAAAAAATGTTTAAAACGCAGTGAGTTACTTAAAATGTAGATATACCGAATCCACTAACCACTAAGTAACATCTTAGTTTTGTCCTGCTGTGTCAAAGGCAGTGAATGGTATAAAGTCCAATTTGCACTTTGTATTTAGGCAGCTAATTGTGGAAAACTGGTCATATGGAATGAATTATTTATCCTTGATTCAGTACAATTCTTGTGTGAAATAAAAGAAGACCTTTGAAATCCCAAAGGTGACCCTTCCTTGTAGTTTATTTACAGCAAGGTCAGTTTAGTGACACACACACACACACATTCCAGCAAATTTACCCAGGAATGTTTCCTGTCATTTATACTCTGAGGTTTGACCTTCAGACACACCATTGCACATTTGAGCTAGCAAACCATATAATCAGTCCTGTTCAGATATACATATACACAGCATATTTAGCAATAATTAACTGCTGTACAATATTAATGCATGTAAATATGGCTCATTCCAGCAAATTTACCCAGGAATGTTTCCTGTCATTTATACTCTTGAGGTTTGACCTTCAGACACACCATTGCACATTTGAGCTAGCAAACCATATAATCAGTCCTGTTCAGATATACATATACACAGCATATTTAGCAATAATTAACTGCTGTACAATATTAATGCATGTAAATATGGCTCAATCACACTACAAAGACGGCAGACGGTGACTTTGAGTTGCATGGAATCTCTTGCGTAATGCACTCCGGAATAGCCCCGCCTCTCATTTTTGTCCTGACTGGTCAAGCGAGTTCTACTATGGCGAAGGCTTGGCTCATGAATATTAATTACGTAATGTGACGTTACCCAATTAGATTGGCTGAGATGCAACGTCTTAACTGATCTGTAATTTTTGGTCTTTTATCATATCAATATTAATAACTAAAAAGGAGATGTAATAATAGAAATAAAAAGAGTAAAAATTATATATTAGTATCATAATTAATAGTATTACATTATTTTTTTCCAGGACCCTGCATTTTGGTTTAAAATAATTTATTTGGTTTGGCAGACCATTTCATTTTATGTATGTGTAACTTAAAAAAAAATATTGGTCTTCATACAAGGTAACGTTTCGAGCTAGCAGGCTCTTCGTCAGGGCTGTTAGCTCAAAACGTTACCTTGTGTGAAGTCCAATGTTAAATTGTTTTGCATTTTTGGAGCCTATGGTGTGCCAACTTTTGTTTGTTTTTTAATTATTTTCTTTGACGAGCACCCAATTTAGAGCATTTTGTGCCGTCGATGTGCATGCTTTGGTTCCGTTTTTGCTATGTACGTGTAACTTATATATATATATATATATATAAGATTTGTAAAATACTTTTTCTTATTTAATCTTATTGTTATATCAATTGCACCCAGTCAGAAAATTCAGTTAAAAAATTATGTAGCATGAACATTTGAATGGGTTGGCAGGACTACTGTATTTGATATGTCGTTTTAATTTTAGAAATATATAGATATAGTAGTAGTAGTAGTAGTAGTAGAAGTAATATACTTGAAAAATATTTTCTTAGAAAAGGGGAAATTTGTAACACAATATCTCACATTTTAAAAATTCATCTCATTAGCAAATCTAAAAAAAATAACAAAAGAAACTGAATTAATGTAAAATTATTACTGCATTTGATATGTTGTTTTAATTTGAGAAATATATAATAGTAGTAGTAGTAATATACATGAAAATATTTTCTTAGAAAAAGGAAATCTTTTAACACAATATCTCACATTTTAAAACTAAATTCATGTAATTAGCGAATCTAAAAATAACTGAAAATAATGTAAAATAATTGTATTTAATCACTGGCACTGTTCATAGCTCATTGTTTATTAATATCACTATGTACATCCTCTGCGCTGAAAAAGCTTTTTTAAATAAATGAAGAAAAAAAAAATCGCGGTCTATATTAATATTCATGAGCCGATACGTGACCATAGTATGATTTATAATGAGGTGGGCGGGGCCTGCAGTGACGCAGTCGCTTCCTTTATCCGGTTGAGCCTCGCGGCGCTCGCGCACATAGCTCGGTCTCTCTGCGCAGCCGGTAGAGGAGAGAACGCAGGCGCCATTTTGCGACAAATTCACTAAAGTAAGAGTTTCGTCAAAACCTAACACAACCTTTTTCTTGGTCTTCACACACAGATTGAAGTACCATTCCACATTTTCTTCACATAACGGCCTTTTAACGTGTTAAATGTTTGCTTTAGTGGTAGTTTTACTGCAACGTCTTACTACGAATTACGCTTTTATTTGACATGTATGTAAAACACTACGCTTGTAAATGTGTTCAGTGCCTAACCAGTGTTGTTTTTTCATTCAGGTCTGCCACCAGACATGTATCCGACCACGCTGACCCAGCTGACCCGGGCAAACCCCTTCAGCGCCCCGTTGTTCTCGCTGCAGAAAGCCGAAGAACCGGAGAAACACACTCCCGTACAGAAGCGCAGGCTCGCAGCCGCCGCGGTAGCCGGTAGGACCGTAGCCCATACATATCATGACCAAAAAACACCTCATTTACATGCATTAAATGCAGTTTAAATTGCTGAAGACGGGGGTAGAATTAAGAAAAACACCCTAACCCATCACACTTTTTCCGTTTATTGCTTTATTAATGCTTGATGTGGATGTCCCGGCGCTCAGGATGGGAAATTACACCATATGAACGTTGAATAAAAGATTAGAATACTAGTTAGCATTATGCTAACTAGCGTTAGATGCTCTCGAGCTGTAGTTTAGATTATTAGGATGTTCCCTTTAGTCCTGTCAGTTCCTGCGTTTATCTCAAGTATAGATTGTGTGCTTCTGCATTAAATAGTCTTTTAGTGTGTTAGATTTGCTGCTGTGAGTTTCTGGCCTTGTTGCGTTCATGGAGGGCAGTGAAGGACAAAGTCAGAGGACGCATTGTAAATGTTTCAGGAGACGTTTTAACATTTTAACAACGCATCAGATAGAAGTAAACGTGTGAAATATGTTAAAATGTTATTGAGCCGGTCAGAGGACATGGTGTTCTTTATTTAAAGCGTCCTATTCTGCACATGACCTGCGTGTGTACCGCTATTCTCAATGAGGCGCGATTTGATTGGCTCACTGGCGCAGGAACGCAGTCCAGCTCTCAACAAGGCGCGTTCTGATTGGCGCTCAGTTTGAGGAACGCGTCCAGGTCCGGTATCGTGTATCGTCCAGTGTCTTGCCCAACATCTAATCGTACATTTTAATAGATTTAGCATGTTTTTTATCAGTGCTTCTCCCTTATGGGGTTGTATAATACTTGTAGTTTTAGTAGAACCGCTTTAATTGGTGCGCTTAATCGTTTTATCTGTTTACCAGAATGAATAATAAGGTCGCCCATAAACAGAATACGACTGTTTCCGTTTGAGTTTAAACAGTGAATAAATAATAAAAAATAATAGTAAAGTGTATATTTCAATAAGTATATTTAACAAAATAAATACGATACACGTTTTACATTTTAAATAATACGAATAGATTTTTAAATGCATCTTACTGAAAGTAATTGTGAAAATAATGTAATAACTACATTTTCACATTTTCCACATTTATAATGAATTTTATATGAAAATAAAGTATTTAAAAAAATGTAACTTAATTCCTCAGATTGAATCAATAATAGTCATCTAATAATAATAGCTGATAATGACAAATCACTTCAGTCTAAATATTAATAAGTCATAATATCGATATTGATATCTAACACATTTATAATAAACGTCTCAAATTTATGATTTTTAAAATCATAAAGTATTTTAGGATGTGTAACAATGTAGTAATATTCTGTGTATTTTTAAAATAAAAAAGAATCAATTTTTAATTGCTGATTAAATATAGACTGAACTGAATTTTAATTGTTAGATTGTTTATATGCAAGCATTATTAAAATTAATATTGTTTATATTATATTAAAATTATTTTTTTAAATATTACATTTTATATAATTTCAGTAAGATTTTATACAATGTTTTACATATAAAAAAAAAATTCACAAGTCTTTTTGGATTAAAATAAATAGTGTCTGCCTTTTAAATCTTAGGATGGGATCATCACAAAGATGGTCATATTTAAAGTCGGTTGCATCTAATGGATTAATGGATAGCAGGAGAAAAGTCACGCTTTCCAGTCCAATGAGGCGGTTTTCCACTAACCCACAGACAAGCGTCTCAGTCTTTGTGGATGAACGTGATTCCGTGTTTCTCCTCAGAGGGAGACAGCTGTGAGTTCGGCTCACAGAAATACTTCATCCTCTGTGGCTTTGGAGGGATCCTCAGCTGTGGCACCACACACACGGCTGTGGTGCCCCTCGACCTGGTCAAGTGCCGAATGCAGGTCCGTGTGTGTGTTAGCCGGAGTCACCCGAGTGTGTCCGTGTGAGCCGACCCCTCATCAGCATGTTAAGTGTCGTGTTGTGATGCATGAGCATGTGTGTGTGTGTTCCTGTGTTCCCTCACGTCACAGAGTCGAGGGATAGCTGCGAGTTCGGCTCGACGAAATACTACGCCCTCTGCGGGTTCGGGGGCATCTTGAGCTGTGGTATTACGCACACGGCCGTCGTGCCCCTCGATTTGGTCAAGTGCCGTCTCCAGGTCTGTACTCCCTTCCCTCCCCTTCATTGTTGAGATGACATCCATGGCGAAGGGTCACTAACACTTTTCAAGTGATTTGACTAATCAGCTACCAAAAATTCCTGTAAGACGTTCATTGGCAATTAAGCACAGAGGCACGATAATTCATGCATTTAATAATCCTTCATGAAAATACAATTAGGTTTTTTTTTTTCTAGAACCTAATTTTCTTCTCTGAAACATAGGAATGCAACAATACAATGCAATTCAGTTTGATGCATAATACTTTAAGCCAAAATAGAGGAGATTAAATTAATTGAAATAAAATAAATATATATAAGAAATAATTTACATCTGTCAAACATTTGTATTTGGAAGTTTTTCATTATTCATTTGTATAATTTGTAGTATTTTCAAGTCATTTAATAATAATTTTAACATTTGTTTTTAATGAACAGCATTTTAATGAACAGTACTTAAATGTTTTTATCACTTAGAAGTAGGGCTGCACGATTAATCGCATGCGATATTTAATGCGCA